AGTTATTTAGAAGGAGACTTCACCTACCAGTTTCTTCTGGACTTAAGTAGTTTTGTTTTAGGAACTCTTTGGAGCTCACTGTGAACACTTTGAAACTGTCATCATTGAAGTGTTTCTAGGGAAAATGTGATTTGATTTTAAAGCATTCTTGCAACTGTGGAGAGTCTTTGCACTAGATTTTCTGTCAGACAACAAAACTCACCCTAATTTTGCTTCGCTTGTTGAATTCTCTCTTTATTGCATCCGTGGCTTGCACATTTCTTTCAGTGACTAGATCATGGACATCAGCTGATGAACTAAAAGAAATGTAAATATATATATGTATATGCTCTGTACACCATCATCAGTTTGCAGGAGGTTGTGTGGTTTTGGCTTTCAGGTGGAGTTGTGGGAGACTCCCTTTGTGACCAAGCTGAGCTTTGCCTAGGTGGCTTTTGCACACTATTATTATTGTTATTAATCTTAAAGCATTACAAGACATGTCAGCAGGTTCTCGTTGGACCATGATTTGTTAGGAAGTTTCCTATAATCTCATAGATTTTGTACCCATACATAAAGCTACCATGATCCCATCATTGCATCTCTTTCTCCTCCTACTCCTGTTTTATTCTTCAGCCCCTCTTGCTGTTCCAAACCCTTGCCTGTGCCTCTCTTAAATAACTCAATTTCCTTCTGACCAGGCAATTCTCTGTTCATTACTCAGTCCACCTTATTTAGTAAACTTTATAAAATTGTCTCAGCATCTGAGACTCCCTTTGACCCAAATGTTCTGCATTCATTACAAAAAAGTCTAAACTCTGTGCTTTATCTCTCCTAGCTTGATTTTAAATGGAAACACCGTGTAGTTGATCATCATGCAACATTAACTTACAGATCATCTGAATCATCAAGAAGATCAGACTTAGTGCAGATAAAATGAATTTGCTGACATTCGCCACCATTTCCAATCAGACTACTGACACTTTCCAGGATCTCCCAGGCCTCTTTCTCTGATGCTGCTCGATTAATTTCAGTCACAATCCACACAGTAGAACAATCTCCAA